GAGCGGGAGAAGGTATAAGATAGGCTATAGACCCTTAAGTAAAGAGATAGATAGACCTTTAGTAAATTCCTCTTTAATTTTAAAGAGACGCTCTTATAAGTAATAGGGACTATAGTATAGGAGGATAGTATAAAGCTTATATAGCTATAGAATTTAATTACGCTAGCCTTATAAAAGCTACTTATCCTTATAATTATACCTACTAGCTATAGTAAAATGCCTATAAGTATACTCTTTACCTAATAAGGGATTATTACGAAAATCTACTAAAACTAAATTACTAGTACGCTCTATTATAAGCCTATAGCTAAGCTCCTTATAAAGCTTAAAGACTTAAAGGACTAATACGTAATTATAAGCCTTAATAAACTACCTTAGAATAGCGTCTTTATTATAAGCCGGAAGCTAAAGCTATTAATAAATAGCACGGCGGACCTATAGCACCGGCGCCTAGGTTACCTAAGATAAGGATCCCTCGAAAAGCTTACGATAAGCAGCCTAGGCACTAGAATTAATAGTCCGTCTAGATATAAATATAAGATCTATACTAGTAGGAAGGCCTAGAGGTAGGTCTTATATAAAGAGCTTACTTTCTAGCTATAAGGAGCGGGAGCTTAATTTAGCTTCGACTTATACCTAAGACTAATAGATAGATATAACGGTTTTAAGTATTACGCCCTCTTTATATATATAATAGATAGGGAAAAGGCCCTTATAATAAATAAACTTAAGGACTACGTTAAAGGGCTAGGAGCGTAGTTCTTTATATCGGCTTTATTAACGCTTATATAGAACGGCCACGCTAAGAGATCCGGAGCTATAGTTAAAGAGAAAGGCTAGGTTATAGCCCTTAACTCTAATATCCCTAATAACCTTTAGCTAGAGACCTACTATATAGCGGTCTACCTATTAAACCTTATACTATTTAAAGGGTATAATAAGAGCTAGAAAAGCTTATATAAGCGTTAGTAGACTTATATTTAGGATAATAACCCCTTATATAACTATATTAAGGAGATCTATTTAAATATCTTATATTTATAGGTCTTTAGCTATATAGCTTATTTAATAATAACTAAAGCGCTAGAATATATAAAGTTATATAAGACTTAGTCTCTACTATATTAATAAGCCTATATTAAGTATCTTATAAGCTATAAGTTAGCGTAGTAATACGTTATATAAATACTATTACTTAGCTAGACTAAATTACTAGTTTTAGCGAATATTTAATGTAATAAATCTATAATATATAACCTAAAAAGGAAAGGTAATATAAAAGCATTTTAGGTTTATATATACGATCTTTTATATTAAATAGCCGCTATAAACGTCCTTAATAAGGAAGACCCTAATAAGGTTAACTTATATAGATACTCTAATAAAATAATAAATAATAATATAACGCCTTATACTTTAAGAGTCTTAGAGGGCGCTATATTAACTAAAAATATAAGTAAGATAAAAAGGGTATCTTAGGTAATAGATACCTACCTATATATTTCTCCTCTTAGTATAAAGAAGGGAGTAATAAAAGAAACCCTAATACCTTATCTACTATAGGGCGTTAGCCCTAATATAAGAGTATTGCTATTTATATAATAGTATATTGCTATTTGCATACTCGACCTATTTTTAAGATACGTACCCAAGCTAGCCCGCCCCGCCTATTTATACCGCGCGCGCCTAGCAAGTACCCGTACCGCCTAAATGCCCGCACCCGCGCCTGCGCCCGCCCGCACACACACATAACCCGCACACACATAAGAGGCAATAAAGGCCACATAACGCATGCCTCTCAATTCGCTCAAATAACGCATTTCCGGGCCTTGAGCTCGAATTTGCAACAATCGGCCCGTCAATTAACCCGGCTCCTCCTTGGCCCTTACGGCTATGTGGGCGGCGGCGGCGTCGCCGCCTCAATTGCATCCCACTCAACGATCCCTCCAACGCCTGACGAAGCCGGCTGCCCTGACGAAGCCGGCTGCCCTGACGAAGCCGGCTGCCCTGACGAAGCCGGCGGCGCGCCCCTCCTGCCGCGTCCTCCTCTTGATCCCCTTCCCCTTGTATTTCCTCGAGCTGATGATCCTTGTTGTGACGCTGCGAGAGACCGTGGGCTATAGCTAAGTTTATTAATCTCGTCGCGCCCCCGGCGCCTTCGAACGCTTGCGTTGAGCCGCCTTGAGCTAGCCTGACTCGAATTAGGTAGCTGGGATGCCCTTATAGCCGGCTGTGACTGTAATGCCGTCTATGATGCTGTCTGTGATACCCTCGCTGTGAGGGAGCTTGGTATAGGTAGCTTATTATTACGGGGCCGGCCGCGTGTAATAGTAACAACGTCGGGGTCGCGGATTCGTAGCAATAGCTCCTCGAGGTCCTAATAGTAGTAATTAGTATTAAATTTACCTAAAAAGGGGGGGGTCTTTACTAACGGCTTCTTAAGCTACTATCGTAAGAGAATATTATGCTTTTTAAGCGTTAACCTAGCTTAAAGGCGTTAAAGGATCGTATATATATAAGGCAGCCTAAGTTAGTATATAAATCGCCCGCTATAAGGCCGTAATAGCTATAGCTCCCGCGTTAGTAAAGGCATCGCGGCGAGGGTAAGCCTATATTATATAGTAAGTAGGTTAACTGCTTTATAAGTGATTTTTATACTAAGATCCCCGAGCTAAGTCTATCTAAGGAACTAACGCCTTTATTATATCTCTTACTAGGCAGCCGTTTATATATATATTATCTCTTTATTCTTAATTATCTATATAAGAGCATCGTAAAGATATAAGAGGTTAGAGGTGCCTATAACTAAATAAGACTTTATATCCTTATAGGCGGTTTTAACTAGGCTATTTACCCGCTGCCTAAAGTTATAATATTAGCTAATAAAGTAGCCTACTTACTACTTATACTATAGTATATATTCGTTTAAGATATATATTACGATATACCCTTAGTATTAACTTAAGGTCTTATTAAGCTACCGCTATACCTTATAGAAATCCGCTTTAGTTTTTAAGTAAATAACGCGCTTTTAAGCTAGGAATATTCTTTTACGGCTAAATTCGACTTCCCTATCGTTTAGACTAAACGTAGTAGCGGCGGCGGCGTTAGCGGCTCCTTATTTAGTAGCCTTTCGAGCGAGGATAGCTTTTACTTCCTAAGGGACCTCTATATTAATAGAGTTTTTAGGGCTATTAAGATCTACTAGGTCTTTCTAGCGGGACTAGATTTAAGCCCGAATATTACTATTAACCTAGAATATATAGAGTTATTATTATATTAAGGGGAAAATATAAAGGAGGGCGTTTTTAAGGGCAGCTTCTTTATCTATAATAACTATAAAGGGCTCTTATACCTTAACCTATATATAAAGAGCGTTAAGGGACTTATATAGCTATTAGTATCCCTCTTCTTTCTTTAAGTTAATAAGGCTAAAGGCAAAGTTAGCTAAGGACTTTTAGTTAGTAACTTTTATAACCTAAAAAAAGAAGAGACTAAAGTAGTTAGTTTTATATATATTATTAAAGCTAAGAACCTTAGGGAAACGTCCCTATATCTTTTAATACTATAGATAGGTCTATAATATACCTTAAATCTTATTTTTATTATATAGGTCGAATTTAATATAATAAGGAAGATCGCTTACTTAAAGATACCGTAAAAACGCTTATATTACTATTATACTACTAAGAGCTTTAAAATAAATCTTTTAGCGGTCGTTATAAATATCTTTAATATAAAAGAACGCTATTAAAGGTTTAGCTTTATATAAGATAGTTAATATCTCTTAAGCTAGTAGTACTTTATATTAAGAGAGGTTCTACTTAAGAGCTTACTATATATTAGTCCGCTAGTAATAAATATTATATATAAAGGGATTAAGGGAAGGCCTATAGTTATAGTAATCCTTAGTAATATAAAAATCCTACTTCTAAGTTTCCTCGTTATATAACGCTATTATAATAAGGCAGAAAGGGCAGTTAAGCTTTTAAGTAAAAGATTTACGTAGCTTAGTACTTAAAGAAGCTCGCCGTAGGCTACGATCGTATATAAAGAGGAGTCGTATTATAATAGAGACCCTATTAATATCTCGCTTATATATACTTAACCGCTTAATAACTATAGCGCCGTTCTCGCGAAGGAAGCCTTTAACGAAGTTATATACCTCGTCGTAGGTTTTAAAGCCTAGGGAAGGCGGTAGGAGCGGGATCGTGTCTTCGCGTTCTTAGTAGGCATCGCGGGCATCGTAAGCATTATCTAACGTATTAAGGAGGGAGAGAAGGGGGTCCATCGCAGCGCTGGTAATAGCTTTAAATTTAGTATATATATATAGGTTATGTGTATAGGTTGTATGTGCGGGTTATATGTATATGCGGGCGGGCGCAGGCGCGGGTGCGGGCATTTAGGCGGTACGGGTACTTGCCAGGCGCGCGCGGTATAAATAGGCGGGGCGGGCTAGCTTGGGTACGTATCTTAAAAATGGGTCGAGTGTGCAAACAGCAATATGCTATTGTGTAAATAGCAATACTCTTATATATTACCCCGCTCGAGAACCATGGGTAGAAACTTGGGCAGGGGTATAAGGGCTTGATAGGGCTGCAAGGATCAGCCCCCACACCCGGCCTGTGTACAGCGATAATATGCGAAGAGCGGATACAGTACAGTCAGTTACAGACCCGCTCGTTCCGGTCCCAGCCACAATGCACACACACCCGTGACTCGATTGACGACCGATTTGAAGCTTTCGCCATGGCTCTTGCCGGCTTTGTTGACGTTATTTGTAGGTGTTGACCGCTTCGTGGCCCTTCTCAGCAAGTCTGACAAGGCTGCTAGATGTATAGATGACTTTGATACCGCTGCCTGCCTGCCTTGAAGCTGGTCAGTACTGAAGGCGCCCAGTCGCCCACCACATCTCGGGACGCAGCATTTGTTCGTGTTTAATCCCCCCCAAGGTCCACTGAACGGTAGAGCCTTCAAGGACAGCCACCGCACTCGTAACAATGCCCGGCGCGGCATCTCGCCCCCACGTTCCGCCCGCAGGCGTCTGGTGCCCGGCCGTCACCTTCTTCACCGCCTCCGACAGCCTCGACATGGCCGCCCAGACGCAATACTTGGCCCACCTCTCCCGCTCCGGCCTCGCGGGCCTCGTCGTCATGGGCACCAACTCCGAGGCCTTCCTCCTCACCCGCGACGAGCGCGCCCAGCTCATCGCCGCTGCCCGTGCAGCCGCGGGGCCCTCGTTCCCCATCATGGCCGGTGTCGGCGCCCACTCGACCAAGCAGACGCTCGAGCTCGCCGACGACGCCGCGCGCGCGGGCGCAAACTACCTGCTCGTCTTGCCGCCCGCCTACTTTGGCAAGGCCACCACCATGACCGTCGTTACGCGCTTCTTCGCCGAGGTCGCCGCCCAGGCGCCCCTGCCCGTCGTCATCTACAACTTCCCGGCCGTCTGCAACGGCGTCGACATCGACTCCGACACCATATCCGCCATCGTCCGCCAGAGCGCGGCCGCAAGCCCCGGCGGCGTCTCCAACGTGGTGGGCGTCAAGCTGACGTGCGGCTCCGTCGGCAAGATCACACGTCTGGCCGCCTCGCACCGCCGCGACGAGTTCTCCATATATGGCGGCCAGTCCGACTTCCTCATCGGCGGGCTCGCCGCCGGCAGCGCGGGGTGCATCGCCGCCTTTGCCAACGTCTTCCCCAGGCTCACGGCCGAGATCTACCGGCTACACGAGGCCGGCCTGGCCGAGGAGGCCATGAGGCTGCAGCGGGTGGCGGCGCTGGCTGAGAGCCCGTGCAAGAGCGGCATCTCGACGACAAAGTTTGCCGTGGCGTGCTACTCGGCCAAGCTAGCGGGCATCCAGGACGCTGAGGCGAAGCTGCGGCCGCGGCATCCCTACGAAGAGGCGTCCGAGGCGGGCAAGAAGGCCGTTAGGGAGGCTATGGCCGAGGCAGCGGTCTTTGAGGAGAAGCTCCAAAAAGGCATTATGTGAGGTGGCAACCAGTCTAGTGGACGTAGGGGGCGAATAGGGGCGTTATGCACGCCGCGAGGGCACTATAGCGGAACGTGTGTTAGAATAGCTTCCCTATATAGACGGACCACGTAGAGTAAGGAAGAGCTTAACGCATAATCGTTAGCTACGTGTAGAACGGATCGTCGTACTCGGCCCTGGCTATCTTGTTAAGGTTATCCGTAGCGGAGGAGCGAGGGGGTGTTCTTATATCCTTTTCGAGAATAGTGATATCTAAGTCGAAAGAGGCAGCGTAGTAGACAGGCCGAACGCGCCGGCGCCGACGAGAATAATAGGATCGAACTTAGAAACGCCTATATTAAACGCTATATCGCCTAGGTCGTGTTCTAATAGCTCGGTCCTCGCAAGGGCCGTTGCCAAAGCTAGTACGGCAGTCCGCGTATAAGTGCTCCGAGCACTCCCTAAGGTTAAGAGCTAAAAGATAACCTATCGGCCCCCTAGAATGCTGCTACGTACCGTGAGTCCCGTGACCTAGGGGCTGCTCCTCGGCATATAAAGGGATATATTAGGAGGGGTCGAAAGTAGCGTAATATAGGAGCGTGAAGAGGAGGTTAGATGCCGGAGGATTAGGCGCGAGGCCGCCCCCCCCCCCCCTTTTTTCTTTATATTATTACTCGCATGCAACCTCTAGGGCCATGGCGAGGCTAATAGGGGCCTAGGCCCCTATTAGCAGTCCTAGCTAGCTATAGAGCCCGGGGGCTTACAACTAATTAGGGAAAGGGTAGCTATAAAGGCAAAGATAAAGGAAAGGTCAATCTGGTTCCTCCCACGCGGTGTTTTTCCCCCCTAAGGGCCCTAGGGCCCTTAGGTTACTCCTTGGCGCGAGGCCCTTAAACGAGTGCGGATAGCTCAACCTCTTTAACTCAACGGCATCAATTCAATTTAGGGATAAGGTGGTTTAGCTCCACGGGCAAAATAATAAGTAAGCTATTAATGCAACTTAACGTGAATGCTAAATTGATATAATTGAGTTCATGACCACCCTGGCCCCTATAGATCTGCCCCTATAGATCTGCCCCTATAGGCTTCCATTCCTCCAGCCTCTTTACGCAATCCCTGTTAGGTTGAGTATAGTAGACCTAGATTCGATCCATTGGCTGGCATGATGAGGCCAAGACGCTTGGTACTTGGCTGCCTCCTTTCCTTTCCTTAGGGGCTGACTATGCAGCATAACCCTCAGACTATTCGGCAAGCCAAAAATTCTTACCCTCTATGTCGGCTGCTCTAATATCCGGGAACTCCCCCACAGGGTGCTCACTGCATGACAAACGAAGAAAGACGTTTCCTATACATCACTTTGACTCTTTTCCGGACCACACTCCCGAGATCTTGGTCTTTTTTAGCACCGTGGCGGCCACGTCCTTCAGCAAGCCACCCATGAGAAGCTCCAACACTTGCAAGTGGGTCTACAAATCCGTGCCGATCTAGTTGCGCAACTCGATGGCTGCTAGAGAATCTAGACCAAAGGCAGTGATTGTCGTCGTGTCCCTCTAAGCCGCCATAACCTCAGCCGGGATCATGAGGATGGCGCTAAGCTTCTCCTTAATGCCCCGAGTCACAATCTCATGAGCCTGCTCGAAACTAGACGCGATGCGGAGCCTATGCGAGATAGGCATGTCGACCGACTCGGCCGCGTCGTTGTCTTGAACTAATTTGGCTAGAGCCGCTTTGCGCAGATATAAAAACCGATTATCGGACGAATAGTAGGGCAGAGCAGTCGGGTTGGAAAAGTCGAGCCCCGTGATGCACTGCTCGCCACCGACTTGGCCTCGGATGGATGCTTCCACGAGAGCCAGGAGCTCTAGCTCGCCCATAGAGCTGCCTAACATGCTCTTCATCACCTCGGCCTGCTTAGCCTTATCCTAAGCCAAGTATCCAACGTCACTGATAGCAGCGAGGTTGAGAGACGTGGCTGCAAGGCCTTGACTTCGGCGGTGGCGGGCAAATCCGTCGAGGAATGTGTTGGCAGCGGCGTATGCGCCTTGACCTCTGTTGCCGATGATGCTAGCGACCGAGGACAGTAAGACAAAGAAGTCTAGGCGGCTTTCCCTGAGGGCATCATGGAAATTCCAAGCGCTGTCGACCTTAGACCGGACAACGTCCTGATAGTCGCCAAAAGCCCTCTTTTCGAACAGCACATCCTTGAGCACCATAGCGGCGTAGATAACACCGCGGATGGCAGGCAGGCTGCTCTGCAGCTCTTTGACGAGGCCGGCGACTTGGCCGCTGTCCGCAGCGTCACACTTCCTAACATAGATCGACGCCCCATCATTCTTGCCGTCTTAGGCGAGCTGCCGGAGCTCGCTCGTCATGGCACCACTGCGTGAGGAAAGGACGACATGGCGCGCGCCCCTCAGAACCATTCGCTTGGCCAGGGATCGCCCGATGCCACCAGTGCCGCCGATGATGACATATGTGGCATCGCTGGGCAAGTACGGAGCAGTCATAGGATGTGTGGCCTATATATATACATATATGTATCGAGTCAGAGCTATTAAGCAATGGGCGGTGGTCCCCTTACCTTGACTTGCTGGTTTAGCGCCAGATGATTCACAACCACCTTGCCACTTGTCTTACCACTCTGCAGCGTGCGAAGGGCGCTCTCGACCTCGGAAATACCAACCGTGGTGATGGGCCCGATGGGATATATAATCCGCTTAGAGATAAGGTTCATAATAGCTGTCAGAACCCGGCTCATGGTCTTAGGCCGCTCGGCAGCCATAAGGGTCAAGTCGATGGAGCTGAAGGTGTAGTTGTTGTTAAAGTTGGCCATTTCTAGCCTCGTATTGGCGACAATGTCCCGCTTGCCGATTTCGATAAAGCGTCTAAAGGGCGCGACGCAGTCCCACGTTTCGCGCAAGAGGTCGCCGGCAAGAGAGTTGAGCACCACGTCGACGCCTTTGCCACCAGTAGCCTCTCGTACCGCGAGGCCAGAGTCGGTGTTGCGGCTGTAGAAAATACGGCCTTTGGGGATTCCATATCTGTCTATAAGTAGCTGTTTCTTGTCTGCGCTGCCCACGGTAGCGTAAATCTCGGCGCCAATTATCTACGATAGCTGGATGGCTGCTTGGCCTACGCCTCTAGAGGCCGCATGGATAAGAATTTTCTCGCCCGGCTCTATGCGCGCCAGCTCGGTGATTGCATAGTAGGCTGTGCTGTAGATAACGGGCAGCGACGCGGCGACCTCGAAGCTTATGTCGGCAGTGATGGCGGCAGCACTCGTCGAGTGGCAGACGGCGTGCGTGCCGTAGGCGCCCCTGACTATAGCGCAGACGCGGTCTCCAACCGCGAGCGATTCGACGTTTCGGCCGGTGCGTGTAACGGTGCCGCTGCATTCGATGCCCAGGTGCGGGCTCGCCAGTTCGCCCATGCCGATGACGACGTCTTTGAAGTTCCTGCCCGTGGCTGCCACCTTAATTTCAATTTCCTCGTCATTGAGGCAGAATTCGGCTTGGTCCGTCCAGTACAGCGAGCTAAGGGCGCCAGGGCTTCCGACAACGACCTTAAGGCGCCGTCCGGCCTGTTCGAAATCTTGCAAGTACGGCGCCGCCGGCAGCGATTCTCGGAAGATGCTGACATCTATGTCCGTGTCCCCAGCCACACGAGGGACGACGAGTCTGCCTGCTTCCTCGGCAAACTCGAACTCGCCCCCTGTGCCGTCCTGGGACGCGAGAGAGGCATCCAACGCTTCAACAATGAGCTCGGCTCGATCGGGAGCACCCAGTCGAGACCCGGGATCCAAGTCGAGCATGGCCGCCGCCTTGCCAGTCTCGGATCGTACCGTGCGCAAAAGGCCCTGGGCCATGGTCTTACATGTGCCGGGTGACTCGGAGCATCGATACGCACCAGACGTGACCCATAGCATCGAACCGCACTGGAGAAGAAGGGTTTGGAGACGGGCGAAAGTGTGTGCCGTCATGTTATGAATCAGGGGTGCGTCGACCTCTGCAAGGCAGATGTATCGAGCCGACGACGAAGGCTCGATGTTGAACAGAGGGCAGACAGACGCCCTGGAGCCGGTCCGCGTTTCAATCAGGTCCAAAAGAGCACCTGCCAGCTGGTCAGACTCTTTCGCATCGGATATGACGACGGTAGCGGCGCCTTGTTCCCCCCGGCCATGACGCCCGTTGGTGCCGCTGCCATTCATGACGCCTATCGTATGGCCATCGGTGTGTGCGTAGCCGTTCGTGACTGCTTGGCCGTTTGATTGTACTTTACCGGCCTTCAGCGGCTCCCACTTGATTTTGTAGCACAAGGGCCGCGGGCTCTGGCCGTCCAGGTCTAGGTTGCCGACCGGTGTCATCTTAAAACCCGTGATCCTAATGACCGGGTCCGCTTGAGAGGAGTGCCAGCCGTCAATCCAAAACTCGACAGGGCCGCGGCTGGCAGGGTCGGGGCAGCCATAAGCAACAGCCTGAACTTGTTGGCCTGGCTGATTGGGCAAGGCAGCACTCATGTCAATTTCCTTGATGGCCGAGGGCATAAAGAGGCACGGCATTTGACCATAGCCGGCGCCAAGAATCGGGAAGACATGCTGGAATAGAAAGTCGATGAATGGCACCGAGAGGATAGACGGTGTTTCGTATAATGATGGCATCTGGGGAGCGGTGTCGGGCACGGCAATCCTGCTCGCCGTAAAGCTGCCGTGGCTGGTCAGTCCCGCCTCCGGCTGCAGCCTGAAGCTTGACCTATAACCTGCACCGTTGGCCTCGAGTTCGGCGTAAAACCTCTCGAGGGAGACGGGCCGGCTTCTAGGGCCCGTTGCCTGTTAGCGTCGACATGTCGCCCTATGCGGCTTGAGGCTGGCGATAGAGCTGGCGGCACCCCTTTTCTTAACGCTGACGAGACCACGGCAATGCTCGAGCCAGCCCCTACTCGACGTCCACGACGAAAAGGTAAATTCTTCCCAGTCGTTGGAGTATGCTCTCGTTCCCTGGGCATACGCCCTTAGGGAAAGGACAGTCTCGTACCGGACACCATCATCCAGCATAAGCGCCTTAGACGACTGGATCTCGCGGAGCCGGTAGCCCGAAATCTCCGACGCCTTTACTCACCGGAGTTGGCTTCTCTGACAAGCCGCCTCCACGGCCATCGAGAGGTAGCCGGCGAGGGGGAATGTGGCAAAACCCTGCATGCGATGGTCTTTGAGCCAGGGCACGTCGTCAGACGAAAGCGTGTTTCGCCAGACGGGCTCCGTCTCGTTGTACGCGTCCTCTAGGCGGCCGAGCAAGTCATGACGAGCAAACGAAAGCTTGCGATGCTGCTCGCTCGCTCGCGACTCGGACCAATACTTATGCTCAGACCAGGGGTAGGGGGCCATGGTGGACAGCACGGCCGGCGTCTGGGCTCCGTTATCCGACTAGTTGACTTGGTCGAACATGATGTCGGCCCCATTCAGGAAGAGGCTTCCGGCCAGCTGTAGCATGGCGAGGGTGGCGTCCTTGTTGCGCACCAGCGATGCCTGGTAGTCGATCTTTTGGTCCTTGAACTTGAGAATCTGCCTGATAGGAACCTCGAGGGCAGAGTAAGGGCCAATCTCGACAATCATGTCAGGCTTGGACTAGGCGCAAAGTTTGAGCATTGCAGACGAAAAGAGCACCGGGCTGGTGAGGTTTTCAACCCAGTAAGTCGGACCAGGCGAAGCCTGGTCATTCCTACGCCCCTCGAGTGCAGAGTAGAACGAAACGTCGCCCCGTGGCGGCTTTGGCGTCACATCCTTGATGGCGGCCAAGTAGTCGGCGATGACCTGCATATGCGACGAGTGGTAGGCAACATTGACACGTAGCTTGCGGTGAAAGCACCTTTGCTTCTCAAGCTCGACGGCAAGGGCGTCGATGCCTGCCTCGTCGCCTGATATTGTCACGGAACTGGGCGAGTTCTCACAAGCCACCGTGATCTTGGACAGGCCAAGGATTTTAATCATGCGCTTAACCTCGGCCGGTCCCAAGCTACCTGCAAGCATGGAACCACGGGAGATTGGAGTGCCTGGCTTCAAGCTGGGAGGAAAGCCGGCCACGGTGGTAGGCGATGGCCATGGCGTCCTCGAGCATGAGAGCGCCGGCAGCGTAGGCGGCCGCGATTTCGCCGCTCGAGTGTCCTACGACCATAGCAGGGCCGACGCCCCAAGACGACAGCAGATCCGTGAGCCCAAGCTGGATGGCGGTGCAGCGGGGTTGCGATATGCATGATTTGCCTAGACTGCTCTCTTCCGGGCTTTTGGAGAGCTCTACCAGAAGCGAGAAGTCTGCTCTAAGACGGTCGAGAAAGTCCGAGGCAGCCTTTACGGTATCGGCAAAGACGGGATGCGACTGCAGCAGCTGGTGGCCCATCTTGGCCCACTGAGCTCCTTGCCCTGTATAGGCAAAGGCGAGCCTCGGAGTCGAGCCCGCCCGCTTCGGAGCAATCGTGCTGCCGCTCAAGACTTTGGCAACTTGGGTGAAAGTGGATGTGGCGACGGCAACTCGCCACGGAAGGTGGCTTCGTCTCTCGCCGAGGGTGTAGGCCATATTTCTCAGTAACCGCTTCTGGGAGTCCTCGGGATGCTTCGCGGCGTGGGCACAGACATTGGAGGCCACGCGCTTGACGGCACCCTCGTCGTTGGCGCTGATGACCAGTAGCTGAGGAAAGTCGCGGTTGGGCTCCTGGGGAAGCTCGGAGGCAACGGCCGGGCCGTGGCCCAAGACGACGTGCGCGTTGGAGCCGCCGAAGCCAAAATTGTTGATGCTCATAAAGCGCTTGTCCTCGGGCCACGGTCGAACGTCGACGGGGACCTTGATGTTCCATGCGTCCAACGGGATCGCCTCATTGGCCTTTTTAAAGTTAACATTTGGCAGGATGAAGCCCTTTTCGAGAATAAGGGTTGCCTTGATGACGGAAAGGATGCCGCTCGCGTTCTCCAAGTGGCCGAAATTGGTCTTGATAGAGCCTATATATAGAGGCGATTGCTTTGTTCGGCCGTCGCCAAACACACTGTGGATGGCGCCAGCCTCGATGGGGTCGCCCGCTTTGGTGCCTGTGCCGTAGGCCTCGACATATCCCGTGTCGTTGGGGGAGATTTGAGCGCGGGCGTAGACATCGCGCATGAGGCGCTCTTGGGCCTCTCCGCTGGGCGCCGCGAAGCAGCTAACCTAGGCTAACTTCCGCTTCGTAGAGGCTACGGGCTCAGATTATAAGCCTATAGCCTTCGAAGCTAGCTTAAGGGGCCCTAACAGGCCCCTACTAGCTAGGCCTGCTACCTATAACTATAGGAAGATAGACTAGAAGGTCTTCTTAGACTACTTAGCTAAGAAGGAATAAGACCTCCTTATAGCTATAGAGAGGGCAAAAAAAAAAGAAATAACTTCGAAGGGATAGCTTCCCTTTTAATAAGAACCTTTATAGAGGCCTCGAATATAGCGATACCGAAAAAGAGGCCCTATATAGGATCTAAGCCTTAGTAGACTAATAAGCTAGCCTCCTATTAGAAAGCCCTAAGCTTAGCCTAATAGGCGTATAGGCTAACATAGGATAAAGAGAGCTAGAAGAGCTTTATAGAGGCCCGAAATAGCTTTAAGTATACTATTAAAGCTACTAAAAAGTAATACTAAGAGAGCTTCTTAATAGAAGTAGTAAGAAAGGATATCTTTATAGCCTTTTCTTATACTAAGGCTAAAGCTAACCCTACCCTTCTTAGTATCTCTTATATAAAAGAAGGGATAAAAGTAAAAGCTAATACTTTTATAGAAAAATATAAGGCCTTCCTAACGACCCTTTTTCTAACCCTAGACCCTAGCCCTAGCCCCCCTCCTAGCCCTCCTAAGACCTAGAAAAAAAAGAGTCTCTAGGCTATATAAGTAGTAAGGACACGGCTAAGTAAGACTAGCTAGAGCTTAAGGGCCCTAAGATTAAAAGGGCTATTTTTAGCTCTTTTAATAAGAAATCCCTTAGCCTAAACTCCTTTAGCTTCCTCCTTATTTAATACGCTTATAAGGCTATTCCTATAGTCTTTAATAAGGCCTATAAAGCCTTATTTAACTAAGGATACTACCTTAATATATAAAAGGAAGCTATAGGAATTACAATTTCTAAGTAAAATAAGCTAGACTATATTATCCTTAAGGCCTATAGGGTTATAAGTCTACTTAACTACTTAGGAAAGGTCCTTAAAAAGCTATACGCTACCTAGCTAAGCTATCTAGCTAATACGACTAGGCTTTTAAACCCTATATAGCTAAAGGGATAAAAATAGCGGTTAATAATAAATATAGCCTTCCTCCTTTTATACTATATCTAAAAGAAGTAGGAGTTTAATAAGAAGGCTATTACTAGTACCCTCTTATTAAATATAAAGGGCGCCTTTAACTTTATATTAAAGGAATAGCTTATAAGGGTCTTAAGGGACTTAAAATTCCTTAAGGCCCTTATAAGCTAGGTAAACTACTTCCTTACTAAAAGGAAAATCTAGCTAGCTTTTAAAGGGTAAGTCTAGCCCCTTAGAGACCTAGTAATAAAGGTGCTTTAAGGGTCCCTTATTAGCCCTATTTTATTCCTCTTATATATAAGGGGGATACTAGCGGCTAAGGGGTACTAGCTATCTTATATAGATAACTTTAGTATCTCTATAACGTCGACCTTAGCTAGGAAGAACGTTTAGTAGCTAGAAGCTATAGCTATTAACCTATTTAAATAAGCTAAGGACTAAGGGGCTTACTTTAACCCTTTTAAGACGGAACTTATTTACTTTAATAGGTAAAGGTAGCTTATTTTAAAGTGTATAATAGTAGGAGGCTTATTTTCTAAGGTAAAGCCCTTAGTATAGTAGCTAGGGGTCTTTTTTAATTCTAAGCTTTTATTTAAATAATATATTAAAAAGAAGGTAGCTTTTATATAAGCTACCTTTAAAGGGCTATCCCGCCTAACCCTTATATAAAGAGGCTTATTATTTAAAGCCTCTAAGTAGCTCTACTAAGCCCATATAACCTCTATAGTAAACTATAGAGCCTAGTTTTAGTACTAGGAGCCTAAGACCCTTAAGAGCTTTATAAAGCCTTTTTAAAAGCTTTAAAACTAAGCTCTTTTAAAGGTCTTAAGGGCCTTTAAAGAATCCTTTATTTAGGCCTTAAAAGCTAAAGCGGCCCTACCGCTATTAATATCGCGAAGCGTAGCCTAATTTCGTAGTTCTTAGAGATATCCCTTAGCACGAGGGACCTAGGAAGCTAAAAAACAGGTTTTAAAGAAAGAGCTAAAAGGAGGTATAGAGAGGAGGGTAAGGGTAAGAGGGGAAGTAAAAGTAGTAATAGCTTCCTATAAAGGTAGCGAGAGATAAGACGTAAGTGCTAGCAACGGCTAAAAAGGAGGGGAAAAACCGGTAAAAGGCTTAGTAGTTAAAAGGATATTAATAGCTTCTTTAAGTAGGATCTTCTTTATTAATTAAGATATAAGATAAGTATAAAGAGGGGCGTTAGATAGAGGAAAGAAGGAAAATTAAGGTAATATAATAATTACTCCCCTACTATAATTACTGCCCCTATAAGAATTAAATATCTCTACCCTACCTATCTATCCCCTTACTTTTAATTTTACCTTTATATATTTTATATATACTTCTTATATCTCTTTTCGCGAGAGTTATAAGCCCGGGAGGAATAGAATTCCTATACCTTCCGGCTACTATAAAAGGCACCTTTCTTATATCCCTCGTAGCTTCCTTTTACCCCTCTTACTAGAAAAGCCGATTTTTAACTAACTTTTCTATCCTTCCCTTATAATAATATTAAAAAACGATTCTTTTACTACCCCTACGGTCTATAGGACGATTCTTATAGAGCCCTAAGATTAAGATAAGTAGGTAAAGGAGCTATAGGCTTATATAGATAAAACTATCTATAATTTAGTCTTCTTTAATAAGTAGGACCCTCTTAAGCCCCCTCTTTATCCTAAGGCAACGGAATTTATAGAGGGAGCTTCCCTCTTTTCCGAGCTAACCTCCGTATAGTAGAGAGCTTTTTCTACTACCTTAGGTAACTACGAGAGTTACTAAAAGGAATACCTTTATAAGATAAAGCTACTAACTACTACTTATATAGTAATAACGGAATCCGTTAGTGCCGTAAAGCTAATCTCTTTTTAGGAAGAAGAGACTCCTAGGTAGTTTAACGGGGGCATCTATACCCTAAGGAATATATATTGCCCGCGTAGTAGAGTCTTTAGCAGGGTCCTTAGTAGGGTCCTTAGTAGGATCCTTAGTAGAGTCTCTAGCTAGCCCTCTTCTTAATTAGATAATCCCTTAGCCCTTATTCGTCTAAGGAAGAAGGAGGGAAAATTCGGTCTATAAAAGAGATCTCTTTTCCTCCTTAGCTAGCAGACAGCATTAGCATCGATATCTTCTTCTATATCCTCTTCTACTAATATACCTTTTTAGCCCTCTTTGCCTTTACCTTGCCCTACCTAGTGCTTTCTTTTTTCCTTTATTCCCCTTAGACCCCGTCGTCCTTCGGTATCTAGCTACTACTATTGCCGTTAGCGTAGGTATGTCTTTAGGTATATACCGTAGCTACCGTTAAACTAAGCAGCCGTTTCGTTTAGTCTTTTATTTCTTTAAGGAATCCTTATCCCGATCTAGAAGGTCTACTTAAAAACCCCCCCTTTTTACCCCTTATTACTAACTTTAACGAGGTTCGATTTCGACTAGTTCCTTGATTTTTCGACTAATAGACTAAAACGTCTATTAGGGGACTAGTCGGGCTGGTCTAACTAATAGGACCGGGCCCGGACCTAGAGTAAGAGGCGGAGCTAGGGCTAGGGCCGTAGCTATAGTTAAAGACGGCGTTAAGGCTCTTAAGGGAGGAGGAGCTAAAGGGGCAGTAGTAGCAGTAGCGGGGGCTATAGTAATAGGGGCTATAGTAGCTATAAGGGTAGTAGGTCGAGCTATCTAGGTCGAGTGCTAGCTACGAAGGAATAAGACTGCTTATTATTATACTTTAGTAGCCTCTTTATCTAGTTCCCGGCTAGCTTTTTAAAATATAGTTAAGTAACCGTTACTAATAAGCTTTATTAGTAGAGATATATCCTATAGCTACTAGCCGGAAAGAGCTTTTATTAGGAAGTATTAGTTAGCTTCCTTAAGGATTTCTTCTTACTTAGCTAGCTATAAAGAAGTAAGTAGGTTCCTAGTAAAAAAGGCTCTTAGGTAGGCTATATAAGTCTTCTTAATACGGTTAGTTATATAACCCTTTAAGGGAGCTATCGAGGTCTCGAGCTTTAAAAGCTACTACTTTAATAGTAGCTACGGTATATACTTAAAGATATACCTACGCTAACGGCAATAGTAGTAGCTAGATACTAAAGGATAAGGGGGTCTAAGGGGAACGAAGGAAAAGAGAAAGCACTAAGTAAGGTAAGGCAAAAGTAAAGAGGGTTAAAATAGTATATTAGTAGAAGAGGATATAGAAGAAGATATCGATGCTAATACTATCTGCTAGCTAAGGAGGAAAAGACACCTCTTTTATAAACCGAATCTTCTCTCCTTCTTTCCTAGACGAATAAGGGCTAAGGGATTATCTAATTAAGAAGAGGGCTAGCTAGAGACTCTACTAAGGATCCTACTAAGGACCCTGCTAAGGACCCTACTAAAGACTCTACTACGCGGGCTATATATATTCCTTAGGGTATAGATGCCCCCGTTAAACTAGCCTATAAATCCCTAGGCTATTAGTTATTATAATACTAGTAGGTCTTTAAAAAAAACTAACTTAATAGAGTTAACCCTTTAAAGAGGCTATAAGAAATAGTATAATAGTCTCTTAAGGAGGACCCCTTATTATAAAAGAAGATAGATAAGATTTAGGTTACTAAGAAATAGTAACTAACGCTACTACCTTTATTCGAGCTATAAATTTAAGGAAAATTCGTTAGTATAGTAAATCCGGCCTTTATCTTCCTTATAGATTAATAAAGTTAAGACTAACCGATAGAGCCCTTTAACTATCCCCTATAAAAATTAGCTATCCTCGATTCCGGTGCTTCCTTCGATATTTATAATATACTCTTATAATTCCGGTCCTTTAAAAAGTTATAGAGGGAATACCTTATTACTAGGGAGTTA